TACAATCCAAGTAAAATAATGATCCTTTAAATAACTTATTCTAAAAGATTACCAATTCAACACTGTTATTAGATCTTCGAATATTGTTTTTATTGGTATAAGTAAATTAAAACCAATCTAAATATTATTGTTATACACATATGTACATTCATGGTCGTCCTATCTGTTGATACCTATATTTTGGCATTGCAAAAGGTGTTATTCTCTGACTGTCTTTACACTAAATCCATTGGATATGTACTGATTGATATTTTAGTCTTAAATACATGATTTGTTTATTAGATGTTTTTGGCTTTGAACTAGCTTTCAGTAACTGCGAGTACTCTCAGAACTTTGTGTCTTTTGTGTTTTTGTTAGGGTTTTTTAGTGCTTTGTATCGATCTGATGAGTTGAACCATTTTCAACTGATTTTTATAGTTTGTTCTGATGTTGTTTTGTTACACCACTGTCCAAGTTTAGGGGGAGAATTTGGCACCAGCAAACAAGATTAACCTCACCTCATTCTGTATGAGCCTGTAATTCAGTGGTTGTTGTTTGTTGCTGTATATCCTATTTGTTTTTCTTTTATTGTTTTGTTCATAAATGAGGCCATTAGTTTTCTCGTTTGAATTATTTTACATTTTGTCATTTTGATGCCTTTTATAGCTTACCATGCGTCATGGATTTTGCTCATTGTTGAAGGCCTATAGTTGTTAACTTCTATGTCATTTGATGTCTGTTGGAGAGTTGTCTCATTGTCAATCATACCACATTTTTATAATCAATTATAGCTGTACCTTGAATTATTGTGCCTGTTTTTGATTGATTTTTGTTTGCTTAATATCCAGTGCATCAATATGAAGAGTTTCTTAGATGAGAGAGAACATGCAAGGGCTACAGAACTAGTCAGAGGCACCTATTATTAAACACCCAGTAGAAGTTGTGAGATACAGTTAATATCAACATGCAGTTTAAATATTTTAAACTATATAACTGATGGAATTTTGATTTGAAACTTTTTAATTATAACATGTTGGATATTGACTGCTGGATGTATTTAAATATAGTGGTTGATCTATAAACCTTTGTTATTGTAAAGATGAAAGTTGATGGTTTTCACTAACAGCTGTCATTATACCCCTATTCAGGACCTCAACAATAGAATGTAGTGAACTGTTCAGTGATTAAAAGATATCCAGTTTTATTACCATATAACTTTTCTTGCTTGATGAAAAAAAGTTGTTGGAAATGTTTCTACTGTCTTAAATTATAGGGCTGTGAATTAATTGCTTTTTTGATGGCATTACCTTCTTCAAATTAAAATAACAGTTGAAGGAATTTTTTTTGAATTAGTGAGATAATGCAGTGTTTCTTTCAATGTTTCAGGTTACAAGGTTACTTTGTCTGGAATATAAATGTTACGTACACATCTTTAAAAAATTCTAACTTCAATACACATACTCTTCCTTATTTTTGGGAAATGAAAATTAGGGAGGTAATAATAAACAATCAAAATCCCACATCTTTTTTAATCAGCACCAGAGAAACAAGAAGTTCCAGAGGGGTAGTTTAGGAATTCTATACATATTTTTGATGACTGGAGAAAAAGTTATTGATGAAAATCTTTACAATAACAAGTACCTAGTACACCACAGGAGTTATTGTTTGATGTGGTCTATGTCAGGCAGAGTTATCTTAGGTTAGACAGATTATCATGGCAGATAACAACACATAAATCATTTCCTCACATTTCAATAGGATCTACTTTATTCTTGTAATTATTGAAACCTGTCATGCTCTTTAAAATAAACACATGTGTTGTTCACTTTTATGCCGCCCCCCCTCCCCCCTGTAATAGAGGAGTGGGCATTAAGTTTTACCCTTGTCTGCCTGTACATCAGTCCATACTTCCATACATCCTGAAATTGGTTTCCGTTCTCTAACTTTAGTTTGCCTCAACCAAATGTTATGAAACTTATACACAATGCTTATTACCACAAAACACAGATCAATTTTGAATTTGGGTGGTGTCACTTTTACCTTTCTAGAGTTATGCCCTTTACAAATGGAAAAATTCAACTTAAGTTTGCCTCAACCAAATGTTTTGAATCTTATACACAATGCTTATTACCACAAAACACAGATCAAGTTTGAATTTTGGTGGCGTCACTTTTATCATTCTAGAGTTATGTCCCTTTACAAATTGGAAAATTGCTGAATTTTTCGTTTCCGTTCTCTAACTTAAGTTTGCTTCAACCAAATGTTATAAAACTTATACACAATGCTTATTACAACAAAACTCAGATCAAGTACAAATTTGGGTAGCGTCACTTTTATGTCCCTTTATAACGTTGTATACTGCAGCTGTGCTATTTGTGCAGTCAAATTGCATTGACTGTATAATCATTTGTGATAGATATACAGTCACTGACCGTATATCGCCTTGTTTATGACGTTGACAATGCTTTTCTGTAGAGTTTTATTTATGACTGGTTAAAAGGACAGGTTCATGGACTTTTTACATCGTTCACTCCAAATTAAAAAAATGATGGTTTTTACCCAAAATATTTCTTTTGGAACAGTTGTAGGAGTTGCAGTATATAAAGAATAACTGTACATTGTTCGAAATATAAATTTTATTTGTACAAGGCTTAGAAACAGGTAGAAAGCAAGGCTATATATGCAAGCGGGGACATTATCTGTGTCCCATGGACACATTCCCCATTTATTTAAGTTTTTCAGTTGCTGGCTGCACATGAAATCTTGCTGCATATAAACCTTTGTCCATAATTTGGCAAGATTGCTTTTGTCATAATTAATTTTATAGTTTTACTAAAAGGCTTTGATATTGAAGTTGAATAAAAGATTTAATCGGAACCAAAAAGTATAAGTTTGTAGATATATATTCAAATAAAAAGCAGAAGATAAGTCCCTGTCTCTCCCCTATCCCATAATGTCCCATAGATGCTGAGTATGTTGTAATTTTCCACGATAAACATGTGCATTTTTTCCAGATTTATGATGCTTTTAGGTTGTTTTTTGTGGTGTCTTTGGGATCCTTTGTTTGTGGTTTGTCTCTTACTTGCAAAACCTAACAATCCTAAGTGTCCTCATAGCATATCTTACATTGCCATTTCCAGACTGTGCAGACTGACTTCCTTTGCAGCAATGTAATTCTTTCAAATATGCACATTTATCATAAGCTTATTGGGTTTTTATTTTATGTGTAAAGCAGATACAGATCTTCCAGTTTTCTACTGAATGACTTCTACTTTACAAAGTGGTTTATTTTCTACATGTCTTGATTGTTAAGATAGATGTAATTAGAAAAGCCATTTGTTAGATGCAAAGAATAAATGATAAATAAGTTTTATATTAAACTTTAGAAGATGATTGTTCATTTTAGTTCTACTTACAAATAATTGTAGCGCTTGATTAGTAGACTCGAAAATTAATGTATATAACAAAAGATACAAGTTTCTCCTAAGGGTCATACTGATGAAGTTTATGGAGGTAATTTAAGGGTATTTAATTACATGTTGGATATGTAAGTTTATCAATGGGGTATTATAAAGGTTGTAAAGAATGTGTGAAAACAAAAGGGAATTTTAAAGTATGTTGTGAAAACAATAGTCAATTTATATTTAATTTAGGTCAGTGTAGATTTTCTATTTAGAATTAGTTTATAAGGACTTCCTTTAATTGTATAAGTAAAATTTAAATACTTAATCAAGTTAAATCAGGATAAAGACCATAATTACACTAATTGTTTTCAAAGGAAATAGTTTTAAGTGTTTAGACCGAGATCTGTTAATTTAAGACATCCTGTCACAGCGAAAAAATTAAATACTCAAATTACATAGATTTTTGTCCTGCACAAAGCTGATTGTTTTTGTATGATTAGATGAAGCAATACTTGTTTACAGTTACCAGTATCATACAGGTAAAAAATGTGACTAGTGGCTTCATCATGTTGATTTCACCAAATTAAATTACCTTTTTATATGTCTTTTTTTTTCACAATAAAGATTTTTTGAATACCTGAATATAATTGTTCTCAAACCCTATTAAAGTTTCCTAATTTTATCTTGAGATTAAATGGGCTAGAAGATAATACTCAGTTGGACATTTTCTTTATTAAATAATTACACTTTATAGGTTGACACCCGTTTGTTGTGTGAAATGAAAAATTAGATATGACACTGGAATCCTACCTGAATAACAGGTTAAGAAAGCTGTTCATTGAAGGCCAGGCTTAATCAATTTTTCATTCTTATACATTTCCCCCTTCTTGAATCTTGAACAGATCAAGTTTTAAAACTTCTTAATCTTGCAAAACTTCTACTATTGAATATTTCCTTCTGTTGAAGAGTATAAAACTGTAACATGGGCTCTTAAAAAAAATTGATATCTTCCAAAAGATTTAAAAAAAAAAAATTGTATGGCCTTATTTGTATGTATATTTTGGTTTGGTCACTACATTTCTACTGATCAGTGCTAATTATATTTACCTGATACTCATGGAGACAGAATTTTGCTGGAATATTGAAATTGTTAACAGTTTCAAGGTTATGAACAGCTTTTATTTAGGTTTTAAAAAAATCTATTAATTTTTTATAGAAGTGTTGAATTTTGTTATCATTATAAAAAGCTTTGTTTATGTGAATTTGAATAGAAATATGCTCATTAGAAAAAGCAGAGTGATAGAAATAGTCAATTAATCAGAAACAGACATGATTAATCAAAATTTGTGACAGGGCATAGCACTTGTTGGTAATTAAGGTACACAGGTGATGTTGTCAAGGTGAAAACTAGTTAATCCTGGATATTTTTCAATATCTGATTTCTAATTATCACAAAAGATAATTCAGCTATAATGAAATCAATGGAAACATTCAACAATAACTTTCTAAATCCACAATCAACTGTCTTAATTGCGTCTGTACTGTTTGTGTGCTATTTTTCCAGAATCGATTTCTGAGATAGAGACAATTTAATTAATTAATTGATTAATTTTGTAGATGGAGAATTAGATGATGAAGATACTGTGACCTCGTCTTACGAAAACGACATTCAGGACAAGTTTGATCATCCAACGACCAGTAAAGAAAGCACACCAGAAAGTTTAGGTAAGCATGAGGTGGACAAAGGGAAGCAACTCTACAGTCGCTTTCTTTTGACTTGCAACATTTAGATAAGATGATTTTTTGGGAGGGGGAGTTAAAAAGATGTGTTTTACAATAATATGTAGAAAATTCATACATTTTTCTGCATTTACAATTAATAGACTGAATTTGTTTATTTTAAATTAAATAATGTTGTTAACTGAGATAAACTGTAAATTAAGAAATGTGCATTTGAAAAGATTAATTTGTTAATTGATTTCATACAACAATTAAGGAATTGAAAAATTAATTGACATTGTCTTTGTCAAACTAAAACAAGACATGCAGCAAAGTGTTACATCCTTAAAAGATTACAAGAAAATGTATAAATTTCTACATTTATCAAATGGATTTTTTGAAACAATATGACATGAGCATTTTTATATCATCATGTATATATTTTTGCTCAGGGACTTTAGAAAAAGTCATCAATAATTACATTATTTATAGCTGACACTTTAATTACTAACTCTTGTCTTAACTTGAATCAATAACCCGGATCTGTCCTTAATTAATGAAAAATCAATTAATAATTACTGGCCTGAAATAATACTGTTAATTTCTGTTCAAGCTGATAAGGCATTGTATTGAATAAGATTTTATGGCTTTTGTTAATTAAATAGCTCAACACATTAATTGCCATGAGCATAGAAATTAAATTTTTGTGTCAACAAAATGGACTGGTTTCTAATGGGTGAAACAAACAATAGATAATGACTAAATGGACAAAGTAATTGTAACACCTGTAGGCTTAATATTTCAAAGATAAAACTTAACCAGGTAGGAAATATTTGTCATTTTATGTAATATTATCATTGAACCACAGGATTTGAAACTTTGTTTTTAACTGTAAGACATTTTGTTTTGTTGGCTTCATCTTAATTGATTTTTGCTATAAATAATTGAATATTTCATTTGAAACAAAGTGTAAGTTATTATTGGAAAATAAGTAGCAGTCAGGGTGAAATGAAAATCATTATGTACAATCATTGAAATGAACACGTTGCATCATGTGTGGAATTCATTAATTAGCTGTTAGTGTGTGGGCTAAAGTTGGTTCATTTCATTTAATTTTCACTAAGTTGATAAAAAAGATAGACATATATGATCTATATATAAATTGTGTTAATTTCCTTCTGTAAGAAAATTCTTGCGAAACATTTAAATATGGGTGTTAATTTGATCAGTTGTACATATACATTGGAAATGAAATTTACACATTTATTTATAAACTTTTTAAGTAAATTAAATACTTTTACTAATGTGTTTAAGTTGATTTTGTGTTGTTGTTCTTTGGTGATGGATTCTCATTGATATTATAGAATAATTATGTCTTTACCTACTATTGAATGAGGATTTGAAAAAGTGTTTTTATATATTTTTTTGATTAGTTTTATGTTTATGAAATTGGAATACTTAATGAGGAATTTAAATTCACATTTGTAATATTACAGGTTTGAAACATGACTATAATCAAAATATGTTGATTTGTAATTGTTTATATTTTGCAGATCGAGCAAAAACACCTACAGAATCGAAAGAGGATCAAATACATGTTTGTCCCTACTGTAACTATAGCAGTGTTAATGAAATGAGGATACAAGCCCATGTTATATCTCAGCATTCTCAAAATGACTCAAAGATTCTCTGCCCACTTTGCCAAGAAGACTTTAAAGAGAAACGTGGATTAGAGAAACATTTGATGAACACACATAGCGTAAAACCAGAAGGTCTTCAACGTCTTTTGTTAATGGTTGACCAAGGAGATTGGATGATGCCACCAACAAGTATACCAACAGTTACACCATTTATGCCCATTGATGAATTTGGGGAGATTAATACTGAAGCTTTAGAAGCTGAAGCTGCTCGTCTAGCTGCCGAAGAAGGTAAACATCAATTCATAGTTTAGAATAAAGTTTAGAAATTAAATTAAGGAAAAAAATTAAGTTTAGGAAAAAAAAACGTCTCTGGATTAAATTTGAAGGTTTAGTTTATATATAATAATAATAATAATAATAATAAATTCTTTATTTGAAGAGGGTAACTCAATTAGAACTAGTCTAATTTTCATAGAGGCCCTCAAACAAAATACATGTTTACAGTTTACATTCATACATCAAAATATAACATAGATATTATACAATTATAGCCTTTGTATGAGGTCGATACAAGGATATATTGACCTGAAAGAAATATATTTACTGAGGACGAAGTCCGAGGTCAATATACTTCTTTGGGTCGATATATCCTGTATTGACCTCATACATAGGCTATAATTGTTATATTATTAATTTCTGACCATATTTGTATCAAAATCGTCGTTTGATTTTGTTGGAAATTTATAGACATCATATTGTCTCCTAGTTTCATTTATTTTTTATGTTTGTTTTTTAACACCTTATGTATTTGAAGATTTGTTTTCTATAGTTTTTAATAAAACTTTTAACAATATCATGAAATTCATTACATGACGTCACAAAGTATATCGGTTTTTAGATTTTCTAAAAATAACCGTGCAATATGCTTTTTTGCTATGCAATATGCTTTTTGCTATCCGCCGTTTTCTGTCTACCTTCGAAAATATAGTTTAACATGTGACTATCCCTGAACGAATCAAATTAGTTAAAATATACGAATTAATAATATATATATATATATATATCAACCATTCATACATTTTAAAGGCAACAATGTATTGGGTGTTATTACATTTAAAAAAATGCATTAATTATTGTTGTGTTTAAACTTAAAACCTCTTTATATCTATCAGTATAATCTATGGGTAGAAAGTTTATATTGAATAAACAAAAACTTATCATCAAATTATAACATGTAAGGGGGTCTCATTGGGGGGTTTGATCCCGGATCATGTCAGATTCCCTTATCCCGCTTATCATAATGCTTGTAATTTCATGACTCATGTTTTCACACACAATAATTTGACTTTCATGTGTCACGCTTACGAAAAATCAGCCAATCCCGCATCACGCTTAGACCTCAATGAGACCCACATATAACTGTTATATCCTGTAATTTTTGTAGATATCTAAAATAAGTCTTGAAAAACAGAAATGAAATTGATATTACTTAATTTGATAAATTAAACATTTCTTAGGTGAGGGGCAGAAGGACCTTTTTCAGGATGTAAGGATTAGGCCTTTATATTTGCAGGAATATGGGATTGGGCCTTTCTTTTTGTGGGAATTTCGGGGTTGAGCCTTTATTTTTGTGGGAATTCAGGATTTACACCTATCGGAATTTACTCAGGAATTAATTTTTTCAGGAATTAAGGATGACACCCCCTCTTAGGACATTGTATTAGTTTGATTGTTGTCTCTTAAGAACCAAAACCATGTTTTGTACATAATCTATGGTGATAGAATTATAAAAGTTACCTGGACAATATGAAGACCTTAGTTTAACCAACATAACATAAGATCATGATAAAACTTAAAATGCCGAACTGTATAAATTGACACTTTGTCCAATAGATACATAATTAAACCACTGACATTCAAATGATCGAATACAACATATAAATAATTAAGAAATGAAACACATATTTTCAGATTTTTATGCATTTGTTGGTATTTTTTTTGTTTTACAAAAATGATATACATTATAAAAATAATTTGATAAACAATTATCCTGTTTCACCCCTACATTGAATCCGTTAATTAACCTAAAAGTAAAAAAATCAAAGAACAATACAAATTATACATGTAGACAACTTCAAAGAAAAACAAAGATTAACACTATTAATCATTAAGGCTTGAATACATATAAACAACACATGACACTGAAAAAAATAGAAATTTATTTTACAAATAAAACTTGTTCTTTTTGTTAAAACATATTCTTGATGTTTTTACTTGTATCTTTACAGCCATAGACACAGCAGCTGTACTAGATAAGAATGATGCTGATGATCAGTACCGATGTCAGACATGCTCAAAAACATTCACCAACATTGATGGATTGTATGCTCATCAGAATGAACTTGGACATTTAGAATTGAAACAGACCCCGCGGGGGCCAGGATATCTGTGTTGGAAGAAAGGATGTAATCAGTATTTCAAAACTGCTCAAGCTCTTCAAGTCCACTTCAGAGAAATCCATGCCAAACGACAACCAAACATTACTGATCATTCCGCATACAAGTATGAGTGTAATCAGTGCAGCCTAGCATTTAAATCACCTGACAAACTTCAACTTCATTCACATTTTCACCTGATTCAGTCTGCCACTCGATGCAGTTTCTGTTCTAGATCATTCCGATCCATTGCAGCATTGCGTAAACACATTGACACTGGACATTCAGAAATCAGTGAGATTGAGAAAGAGCAATATCATGCATCAATGAATGTTGCTTCAATGGCGTTAGGAGCAGTGTTGAAACAGTCAGGAGTGGAAAATCTTTCTGACATCATAAACACAAATTCTGAAGGATCTACAACTGTCAATGCTGTCATGACCCCTGTTGCTAGTACAATACAGGCAGAAAAACTGTTGGCCAAAACAGATATGAACTCAAATGAAACGGTTGGAAAAGTTGATGAAAGTATGGATACCGACAATTCATCACTTATTGAGAATGATTTCGAAGATGAAAACATGGACACAAGTGAGAGAGAAGATGCAGGAGATATGCCCTATAAAGAACAGCAATTTCTGGAGGACTATATTAATAGTCAGGCTATTGCAGAGAACAGTTATGAAGATCCATCACGTAAATTTAAGTGCCATCGTTGCAGACTAGCATTCACAAAACAGAATTATTTGACAGCACATAATAAGACATTGTTGCACAGAAGAGGAGACAAAATAAGCTATCCAATGGAAAAATATCTTGATCCAAATCGTCCTTTTAAGTGTGACGTCTGCAAGGAATCTTTCACACAGAAAAACATTTTACTTGTTCACTATAACTCTGTGTCACATTTACATAAACTGAAACAGATAACTCAAGGATCTCCATCATCAATGTCTGCTCCACCAGCAGAAAGTTCAGAGTCAGAATTAATAAATACAACTACTACATCCCCAATAGTGAACGGTGAAAGTGACAAACTAAAGCCATACAAGTGTAATATATGTAAAGTGTCATATTCTCAAGGAACTACTTTGGACATTCATATACGATCTGTAAGCCATCAGAATAAGGCTTCAAAACTGCAAGAATTGGTGCTAACTGGACAAGTTGATATAATGCAGCCATTGATTGAACAGCCAAGCGATCCTCAGATGTCACAACAACAGAAGATGTTGTCAGAAATTATAGCTCAGCAATCGTCTGCTTTTAACCAATCAATGTTGTTCTCAGGCATGCCAGGATTTGGAGATTATGGACAGTTTCCAATGACAACAGGATTACCACTGTTGCTACCGAAGATGTCAATTCCAGAGACAGTTACAACCTCAAGTACATCTACCAAATCTTCAACTGTCATAAAGTCAGAAAGAATCGACTCAAAGTCAAAGTTTGCAATCAGTGAACAAGAAGAAATGAATGGACTTCATATGTTAGCTCAAGCTGCTGCCAACAATGATATTGTGAAGAAAGAATTGGCTGAACTTGTGAAAGACTCACCAAGTGTTGTAGGACCTACTTATCTCTGCCAGTTATGTAATGCTGTATTCACCAATCAGGACTCATTACAACAGCATCAGATAATATGCATGTACCAGGCTGGTATGACTACTCCAACTTCTCATATGAGACCAAAAAGTCTTATGGGACGTGTCAGTTCGCAAGTTCATCGAAATTTACTGGAGAATATTGGGTTTGAATGTGTGATGCAGTTTAATGAGTTCAACAACCAGCCAGCTTCAATGAGGGAGGAAGCATTAGACAAAGCTGAGACAGAATTTGAAATTAAGCAAGAGATTAAAGAGGAGAAAGATGATGAATCTGATAAGAAAGAGGATTTACCTGAATTAAACAAAGGAGTATGTCCCACATGTCACAAAGAGTTTTCCAGTGTCTGGGTTTTAAAAGCTCATCAGGAGGAAGTTCACAAAGAAGTGGTACCAACAATATTTGTTGAAGATTTTGGTGAACAATTCAAAAATGATATGGACATAAAACAAGCAAAGGAAAACGACAGTTTACAGTTAGGTGCTCTCAATGATGCTGCCATCAAAGAAGGCAGTGTTAAAGATATGCCTCCACCGCCAGCACCACCACCTCCTCCACCATTGATGAGTCCACAAGTAGATATGTCACAAATGATGCCAATGTATGGAATGCATCTTCCCATGCCACTCAATATGGCCATGATGAATATGCAGCCACAACTGATGCCAATGATGTTCCCAGTTAGTACTCCCGATGGTTTGACCTCACCAATGGGTGTTGGTGATGCAGGTTTGCAGAGTTCTCAGTCAAAGATGCCATCAGGACAACAAGCTGCAGCTGTGGCTGCCATGCAAAATCAAAACAAGCGAGCCAGGACACGCATCAATGATGAGCAGTTGAAAGTCCTAAGAGCATATTTTGACATCAATAATTCACCAAGTGAGGAGCAAATCAATGCTATGTCAGAACAGTCTGGTCTTCCAACTAAAGTCATCAAACACTGGTTCAGGAATACACTATTTAAAGAAAGACAAAGGAACAAGGACTCACCATACAACTTCAACAATCCTCCACTGACCACACTTGATTTGGAGGAATATGAAAAGACTGGGAAGATAACATCATCAGATGATCCTCAAGAAATAGTGATAAAGAAAGAGGTGGATATCATGGAAGAACCAAGTATTGGTAGAATTAGTGAGAAGGAAGTGCTACCTTCTCTAACCGAAACTAAACCCAATCCATCTCCAATTGTATCTTTGCAGTTGACTGCACCTATTTCTGCTTTGAAACTGGAACCTCCACCCAAGACAGAATCTCCTAAGTCACAAGACACAATGATGGATGACAGCGACAGTATGTCTAACTCATCTGGACCACCAGCAACTTCATCATTTTCAGCTCCACCACCTCTTGTCAACATCAACATGTCTACTGCGCTCAGCTTCAGTTCAAATGTGGAAGAAATTCGACCAAGATTTGAATTCTCTCCTCATCATTCAGCTTACAACAAGAGAGCCAATCGAACCAGATTTACTGACTACCAGATCAAAGTTCTTCAAGAATACTTTGAACAGAATGCCTACCCAAAAGATGATGAGCTGGATCATTTGTCCAAGATTCTCAATTTAAGTCCAAGGGTTATTGTTGTATGGTTTCAGAATGCTAGACAGAAAGCTAGAAAGATCTATGAAAATCAGCCTAACCCAGAAGTAGCTGCAAAGGAAACTTCCTCAAATTCACCATTTAACAGAACTGCAGGTCTCAACTACCAATGCAAGAAGTGTACAGCTGTATTTCAACGATACTATGACTTGATTCGACATCAAAAGAAACACTGTAATGCTGGAGATGGTGACAAATCACAGTCTGTAAGCACATATAATGAAGATGATGATAGCAATGATTCTCTCTCCAGCATGTCAAAAGATGAACTGAACTTATCAGAGGATGGATCATTAAACTCATATGAGCTATCAGGGGAACAGGATATGTCAACTGGAATTAAATTCAACTGCGAGAAATGTAACAAGTCATTTGATAAGCTTGAAGCCTGGCGTGACCACCAAAACATCCATATGAGTGGCAACCCATTCTCAGGACTGGCAACAAACAGTGCTTTTGGAGTGCTGCAGAATATGGCTGCTGCCCAACAAATAGAATCAGACAAGTTAAAAAGAAAATATGAAGTTTTTTTAGATGATGATGATCATGATCAGCCAAGAGATAAAAGGCTAAGGACAACTATTTTGCCTGAGCAGCTAGATTACTTGTATCAAAAATATCAGCTTGATTGCAATCCAAGTCGTAAACAGTTGGAAAATATCTCAAGAGATGTCAACTTGAAGAAACGTGTTGTACAAGTATGGTTCCAGAATACTAGAGCTAGAGAACGTAAAGGACAATATCGAGCACATCAGCAACTGATACACAAACGCTGCCCATTCTGCCGAGCATTGTTTAGAGCCAAATCTGCACTAGAATCCCATCTTGCAACAAAACATCCAGAAGAAATGGCTAAAGGAGATATTAACATAGACAATATTCCTGATGCTGCACTGGAAAGTCCATCAGAATGTCTGTCAGTAGCATCCTCAATGTTTACATCTACACCAACATCTGCTGATTTTAGCAAGATGATTTCACCTCAAAGCATGCAGTCATTCCTGCCAATACTTCCATCTCCTGGAGCCATGCCAGGTTTACCCAATGATCCACTACAGATGTCAATGACAAAATTTTATGCTGACTCCTTCAAGAAGTACATGAATGAGTTGTCTGCTCCTGAATCCAAGGAGGAAGAGAAAACAGTGCCATTGCCATCACCAGTAAAGACTCATGAGAGTAAGCCAAAGCCATCACTGAGTAGTAACGAAGATGAAGCTCCCTTAGACCTGAGCAAACCCTTGAAGGTGAAAGTAGAAAATGATAAAACATCAGATGGTCCATCAACAGATATTAGTGAGAACTCCAGTGACAACATGAATATGTCTAGACACTTTGATGATTCTGCATCTGATGTTTCCATGAATAAAAGTGATTACTACAACAACAGTCAGCATGCTATCAATACCAGTGGTCCTAACTCTCCAGTATCCGTCAGTCACAGTAGCAGCCTTTCTGCAAGTCAAGCATCAAAACGTTATCGAACTCAAATGACCAGCCTTCAAGTGAGAATTATGAAGACCATCTTTGTTGATTACAAAACTCCAACCATGGCTGAATGTGAAATGTTGGGAAGGATCATTGGTTTACAGAAACGAGTGGTACAAGTATGGTTCCAGAATGCCAGAGCTAAGGAAAAGAAATCCAAACTTCAAATGTCCAAAACATATGGTACCAATCCAGACCTTGACTTTCACAAACCTCCAGAGGAATGTAAATTGTGTAACTTTAAGTATTCCCATAAGTACACTATCCAAGACCACATCTTCACCAAGAAACATATAGAGCATGTTCGTAACTACGTCCAGTCCCAATCTGAAGCAGAGAGTCACCTTTCCAGTCAAGGTATGGCAGGATTGACTGGTTCCATGAACAAACAAACAGATAGGAAACAGTGGGAGGACCAGTCATCACAGTCACACTTAGCACAGCTTCAGTCTATGGGAATGGGAATGCCACTTGCTGGATTATCTGGTATGTGACATAGTTTTAATCACAAATTTTAAAAGTGGTAGAATGAACAAGGCAAACAAACATTATTAGAAAATTGCATTTTATCTAACAAAAACAGAGTAGATGTGGGATAAAGACCAGTGAGAAAGTAAATCAACTAAAAGTAAAATTAAGTAACAATGGATGAGCACACACTGTATGGCAAGCTCAAAATTTCCTAAACAGATATGAAATTAGTTTTATGAAAAGAGTGAACAAAACAGTGAAATTAGTTTTATGAAAAGAGTGAACAAAACAGTGAAATTAGTTTTATGAACAGAATGAACAAAACATTGAAATTAGTCTTATGAAAAGAGTGAACAAAACATTGAAATTAGTCTTATGAAAAGAGTGAACAAAACAGTGAAATTAGTTTTATGAAAAGAGTGAACAAAACAGTGAAATTAGTTTTATGAAAAGAGTGAACAAAACAGTGAAATTAGTTTTATGAATAGAGTGAACAAAACAGTGAAATTAGTTTTATGAATAGAGTGAACAAAACAGTGAAATTAGTTTTATGAAAAGAGTGAACAAAACAGTGAAATTAGTTTTATGAAAAGATTGAACAAAACAGTGAAATTATTTTTATGAAAAGAGTGAACAAAACAGTGAAATTAGTTTTATGAAAAGAGTGAACAAAACAGTGAAATTAGTTTCATGAAAAGAGTGAATAAAACAGTAATAATGTTAGGTAAACTGAATGTTTTGTTTTAAGTACTGATACACTTCAAAGAATTTAGTAGTAAATTAGATAATTAAAGAATAAAGTATTTATAGAGGTTTCATAAATGTATGTAATTGTTATCCTAATCAATATAATTAAAGTTAATGTTGTCTGTTTCAGGTCTTGGTTCATCGTTTAATCCAAGTGACATTCTGAAGAAAGATAAAGATAATAGTGGGGACAAAAAGTCACCTGAAGGTAGCTATAATTATTTATGGGTCCTTGTCTTCTGAAATTGCTGATTCACATTGTGATTTCATCATTGCAATAATGAGTGCATGAAATTAATTGTATTTTATTTTTGAAAAGCAATTAAGATGTTTTATGCTTATGTCAAAAAGGAAAATGTGGATTTTTCACTAATATGTTTACTGATGAGATCAGAATAGAAAATTAAAGCAAAATAGTCAAACCCATTGATTAAGGCATTTATCATTGTTTATGAAGAAAAGAAATATTTTGTTAAGGGAGAAAAACATTTACTAAAACATTGAAAGGAGCTTTTTATTAATTTTCTATTATCAGTATTTAGATGTCTTAAAATTAATATGTTGACTTATAGCTATAATTTTTGACAGATCAAATCTATAAATGGGGACATAAATTTCTCATTTACAGCTAACACTTAAGATCATTTAGAAAAATAAAGGTTATAGTTAAAAAATTATTTCCAAGCAGAAGAAAACTGAAATTCATAAAAAATACTGTAGACTAGGATGAGTTTTTTGTAGGAAAATAAAATTAATTTACTCTTAATTACTTTTTAGGATCCAACAAAGACCTAATGAACATGGACCCTACTCAGCTGGCTGCCATGATGTCATCACCCTTCTCAGGATTTTTCCCGGGCATTGATCCAGCAATGCTGCCTTATATGTACGCAGGATTTCCAGGATACATGCCAGGTATGGGCATGCCTTTCATGCCCCCAGGATTTATGCCTGGTAAGTAATATTTATTAATATATACAGTATGTAAAGAAAGTTTTGGACAACACCATCATTTCTGTTCAAATAGTGAATGTTTATGGATGTATATACTATATTCCTAGTACACAGTTCAAGGTCAGAAGTGATTTCATGTATAAACCTAAACTGCTAGGTTATATGCTGTTATGGATATTAAATGTTCAAAGTTTAGGTTTGTAAGTAGATAAAAGGCCTGCAGTTTTTTCATTTTTAGCTCCTGTTGAAACATCATGAAAATTATATTTAGGCTTCCTGATTTTCTTGAAAAATTATGACCATTGCTGCTTTTTTATAAAGAAGTCATGGTGACTTTTATTTAAATATTTGTTGGTATGTTTTATATAAAAACAAAATGAATCAAACAAAACAGGATAAACAATATATCAATTACTGACACCTTAAGATGGTGAAATACTGAACCACATCTGATAGACTGGATTTTTTTACTAGGATGTAAAACCACAGTCTTCTGATTATTCTACGTTTTGTATTGGTCCATTAGAGATAAACCAAGCCTGTAACAGTGACCTTAATACCAAGTTTGTGAAGGGAAATAATGAATAATAAAAGTTTTCAAATTTACAATATATACATAAATAACAAAATTAAGGAAATTTATGAAAGGATGAACGAACATGATTTATTTTACATTACATCAGGACACTGTTTTGTATAAGTGCTGATTTGAATCATTTTAAAATATTTTCAGGTGCAGAACAGCTAATGGGAGGATTTGATCCTATGTCATTTGGAACTCCTCTACCTTTATTGCAAATCCCACCACAAGCTATTAAAGATGTCAGTGTAAAACTTTCTGAGCCAAAAGCATCAGTTGCTCAATACACTCAGGACTGTAAATCAATTTCCAGTTTGAAATCTCTTGTAAACAATGTAGACTATTTATGTGTTCGTGAATCAACGGTGGATGTTGGATATATATGTAAGAAATGTCAAATGGTCTATCCAGGGAAAGAAGCATGTCTGGGACATCAGAGGACAATGTGTTTCGCCGGTGGTAAAATTCCAGATAACATCAGTCCCGTATTAAAGCTTGAACAGATTCAATACGAATGTAAACTGTGTTCTGATAAATCGTCTACAGTTCAAGAGTATAAATCCCACTGTCAGTCAGAGGGACATAAAGCCAAAACTGCCAGAATCCAAAACAAGTCGGGAAAAATACACAGTCCTGTCAGTTCTGTTCCGCCATCACCATCAAAGACACCAAGTTCTTCCAACCCTAGTGTATCCCCATTGCCAAAAACTGACCTCAATTCTCCAGGTTTCTCACGACCAAAGGACAATGCATCTAATGCAAAATGATTTGTAGTAATTGTGTAATTGATTACTTAAGTGCTATTGATTTTATTATATGTCATTTTTAATTTTTGTTTTTAGAGACATATGTACTGCACCGTATTAAATATGGTGTATGAATATTGAACTACACAACTCTTGCTATGTAAGTTCATGCATCTATTGTTTTTTCTGTCATGAAATGTGTTTTTTCTGTGTCCTGCAGCTTACACATGTTTTAACTGCCATTTTAAGTTTCCGAAGGTTGTGTTTGTATGTTGGTTGTTTTGGATCAATGCCAGATTTTATGGCAGTTATAGTGAAACATTCCTTAAATTTATTGGAAGCAAAAAATGCCAATCATACAATTGCATTTTTCTTGTTAACTTTTTTGTTTTGCAAAGATTTGAAGAAAAAAATTAAGGGCTTATTTGTTTAGTCCCAGACTTTTACTGAATATATTTGTTAGTGTTATAATTGCATTTAGATTTTAATACATTTTATAATTTCATTATTAATTTTTTGTTCAAAATGTTTATTTTTTCATCCCTGTATCTGGGACCTAGTGTAATACAAAGCATATTATATGAACATATATATATATATCTATAAACTATATATACCTATAAGTTAGTCATTTTATTGTTATAGTCATATTGATTTTTTTCATGATAAGCTTACATAATAGTTGTAGACAGTCACATCCTTTGTCCAGTTTTTAGAACTGGATTGGGTCGTACAAACGAAAACGTAATTTTTATAATAAAACAAGCAAAGTTATGACTATGTATGATGATAAATAGTAGATATGAATGCTAGAAATGGTTATGTTTTGTGATGAAAATGTGAGGGTCTTTGAATGGGTATAGCAGCATGAAGTATACATTATATAGCATATACATATATTTCTATATTACTAACTTTTTGCCATGTTAGAATTTTATCAAGTCTGAAGGTTTGAAATATAATAAGCCCTTAAGGGGCAAACATTTTTGGTAAAGTTTGCATGCATTTATTAGTTTCATTATTTTTGGTCATAGAAGATGGTATCTTTGTTTATTATTATTATTACTTCTATGTATTCATTTGAGTTTAATTTTGCTGCACAATGAAATTGAATGAAAAAATCAAGGATATTTTAAATGAATTTAAGATTAATTGCATAGTTACATGAGGGTCTGGGTGTGGTTTAAAGAACAAGGAATAATGAGCAACATATAAAAGAATAGAGAATAATTAGGTGCTTAAATTTAAAGAATAGTGATAAATGGCCCCCAAAAAAATTATAAGACAGAAATGAAGGATCCCATCCAGATCCTGTTACAAATTAGCTTTAGCATCTTGATTTCAACATATCTCATTTGCCACATATCATATGCTTCCTCAGAATGATTCTGATGTTGATCGTTAAGGGTATTTTTTCTTAGATCTCCAAAATAAACAAAATAGTGACCTCATAACGAAATCCTTACATGTACATAGTCATTCTCTCAGTGTTGTATATGCAACTTGTTACATTTTTTTTTATTTCATCCAGTTATGTTAAAAGAGTTAAATTTTAGTCAGATGTTGTTAGCGTTCTACCTTGTGTTTGAAAGAGTTTTCAAGAAGAAAAAATCCTTGTAACATTTAATTTTTCTGTTAAAAGTGTTATTAATGTTCTATGAGCTCATTTGATGGGACCAAATTGTTTATGACCATCAGTTTTGATGTATTGATGTAATGAGTGTAAACAATTATAAATTAAAATCAAATTATTGTTGTACCCATTTAATATTTTAAAAGTATTGTAGAAAAATCAAAATCCAGGAAAAAAATATTTCTGTCATTCACAAGGTAAAACTTTATACTGTTAAACTGCAATCTCAGTTGTTAAAATTGTTATACTTTTGTTAGGGTTCAAAGTTCAAACAAGGTGCTTTTTAGTCTACATTGGACTAAATCTAAGTCAATATTTCTCTGTTTTCTTTTCCAGATTTTTTTTTCATTATTTTTTTGCTCTGACATAATGTTGTTATCTCTGTTAAAGGGAGTATTATTTTAAAGTATTTTATCAGCAAAAATATTACTAGTTGAACTAGTACAGGTCTTTATAAATAATGTCAATATTTTAGACATTTTCTTAAAATGGTTATGTAGTCTGCTTTGCAAATATAAAATCTAAAATAAAAATACATATAAAGTGATGTTATTTTAATTTTTTCCAAATATTAGGATAGACAAGAGGTTTGTATTTATTTAAACAAGTAAAAGTGATGGTGTTGTCATGGAGACAAATACCAATAAAAAGAACAAGATATTAAGGGGACCATACAAAGCTACAAGTTGAATAAAAACAGGCAACATGGCCAAAAAGAAAAATGATTGAAAAATAACAATAGTCTACAAAACACTACACAGGAAATTGATAATTGAGCAGCCCACCAAGACAGTAGGCGAACTCAGGTTTCTAAGAAGGGTAAGCAGTGCATGCTCAACTAGTGGCACCTGTTTTGTTACTCAATGCAAGTAAAATTTTGGTGATAAGTCACATTAGGTCAAAGATCACAAAAGAAGGAGAACTTGTTAAAGTCTTGGTCTTATATTCTGCAAATGAGCACAGGATTAAACTATATGATAAGTTTAGAAGGCCACAAAACAATATTAAACCACTGAAGGGAAACAACCTTTGTGCAAAAAAATTGCTTTTAACAAACAAGGGGCCTAGGTGGCCAAGTTGTCTAAGTAGTCGAACTACATAGTATCACTAGCCTGTCAACACAGAGGTTGTGTGTTTCGAATCCCGCACGTGGCTGGTGCGCTCAACCTTTATTGACTAGGATTGTCAGTTTTTCTACCAAATTTCTTGGTTCTTTCCGGGCACTCCGACTTCCTCCACCAATAAAAACTGACTGCCACGAAGTAGCACAATAGTGCTGAAAGTGGCATTAAACATCAATCAATCAATCAATTAAACACACAAAACAAAACCAAAGCAAGACCACCACTGTTTTATCACAGGTTTCTAGCATAGGATAGGCATTGTCAGAAAATATATCATTTATATGTAGAAACTGAAGAGACAGTAAGAAAAGCAATTCTTGCCAAGGTTTTCCCCTGCGCTAAATAGCAAGGTTCAAATACTTTTTTTCATTTTCTGTTCATCCTGCAATTTCACTTTCCTATAACTTTTAGTTTTACATTCACAAACACTGTTGTGATTCTTATCCAAAGAAATTCATGTTGCTTTAATGAGACTCAAAATTGAAATTATAAAGATCACACTGACTTGTACAAATACTGCATAAAAAGGATTACACCCAACTTCACCCAGGTTTCATCGTGTCTCATTAAATAAATTTAATAGATTTCGGCTAATTTTGTGAGAACAAAATTCAAAAATTATTGTTGACTCATTATAGAAGCAGGACAACTGCAGATGATAATTATATATTATGTGGATATTGTACAAGTATATTTTTGCACCTTATTTTATATGGTAAAATAGCTGAGTGCAGATAAAAGAAGTGAAAGAGGCGTTTTCAAATCTACAACAGTAGCACAACAGCAATCACAAAGTAACATAAAGTTGTCAAAAATCTGCTCACTATAACTAAGAATATATGGATGTGATATTTTAACATTACATACACAGGCACTTGTCTCTGAAAATAAAATCCTATATACCTTAATATATATTATTAGTTACATGGTGTGTTAGTGACCTAATACGATATATATGGAATTTACTGACCCCATATATATCGTATTAGGTCACTAGCACACCGTGTAACGAATTTATCTTACCGACTATCTTCACATGTGATATTTAGACTAGCTGCCTGTCAAAGTGATTAAGTTTTCAATACTTAGTATTAAAAACCTACTTCCATTTGTCTATACAAAAAACAAATGCCAACAATAACAACTTGTTAGCTTTAATTTGTTTTATGAATTTATTTCAATCGTTCACTAGATGTATCAATTTCTTCGTCTGTTGAAACCTTTCAGATTTCTTTTTTGTTTTGAAAGGGAAGTAACTCCTTAATGCCAACAATAACAACTTGTTAGCTTTCAATGTGTTTAATGAATTTATTTCAATCTTTCATCATCAATTTCTTCGTCTGTTGAAACCTTTCTGATTTTCCCTCAACACTGTGTTGTTTTTATAAAGGGACGTGCCATCTTTTTTGTTTTGAAAGGGAAGTAACTCCTTACTAACCCCATATGGTAACTAACCCTATATGGTAACTAACCCCATATTTTTTTTCCCCATAGGGTCTTATGTTAAACGAAGTCCCCTGTTGGCGGCCATCTTGGATGACAAATCAGCTACAAAGTAACAACACTTGGTCAGCACCTCAAAAGAAACATTCATACTATGTTTGGTTTCATTCCATCCAGTGGTTCTCTAAAAGACGACTTTTGTATGTATTGTCCATAGGGTCCTATGTTAAACGAAGTCCCCCGCTGGTGGCCATCTTGGATGATGGATCCCCTACAAAGTTACAACACTTGGTCAGCACCTCATAATGAACATTCATGCCATGTTTGGTTTCATTCCATTCAGTGGTTCTCTAAAAGTAGTCATTTGTATGTATTTCTAATAGGGTCCTATGTTAAACCAAGTCCCTCTCTGGGGTCATCTTGGATGATGGATCAGCTTCAAAGTAACAACACTTGGTCAACACCTCATAAGGAACATTCATTCCATGTTTGGTTTCATTCCATTCAGTGGTCCTCCAAAAGAAGACATTTTTGTATGTATTGTCCATAGGGTCCTATGTTAAACTAAGTCCCTCTCTGGCGGCCATCTTTGATGATGGATCGGCTTCAAAGTAACAACACTTGGTCAGCACCTCATATGGAACATTCATGCCATGTTTGGTTTCATTCCATTCAGTGGTTCTCTAAAAGAAGACTTTTGTATTTATTGTCCATAGGGTCCTATGTTAAATAAAGTCCCCCGCTGGCAGCCATCTTGGTAACCTACAAAGTAACAACACTTGGTCAGCACCTCATAAGTAAACATTTATGCCATGTTTTATTTCATTCCATTTAGTGGTTCTCTAAAAGAAGACATTTGTATGTATTTCCCATAGGGTCCTATGTTAAACTAAGTCCCCCTCTGGCGGCCATCTTGGATGATGGATCGGCTTCAAAGTAACAACACTTGGTCAGCACCTCATAAGGAACATTCATGCCATGTTTGGTTTCATTCCATTCAGTGGTTCTCTAAAAGAAGACTTTTGTATGTATTGTCCATAGGGTCCTATGTTAAACGAAGTCCTTCGCTGGCGGCCATCTTGGATAATGGATCGGCTTCAAAGTAACAACACTTGGTCAGCACCTCATAAGGAACATTCATGCCATGTTTGGTTTCATTCCATTCAGTGGTTCTCTAAAAGACGACTTTTGTATGTATTGTCCATAGGGTCCTATGTTAAACAAAGTCCCCCGCTGGCGGCCATCTTGGATGATTGGTCACCTACAAAGTAACAACACTTGGTCAGCACCTCATAAGTAACATTTATGCCATGTTTTATTTCATTCCATTTAGTGGTTCTCTAAAAGAAGACTTTTGTATGTATTTCCCATAGGGTCCTATGTTAAACTAAGTCCCCTCTGGCGGCCATCTAGGATGATGGATCGGCTTCAAAGTAACAACACTTAGTCAGCACCTCATAAGGAACATTCATGCCATGTTTGGTTTCATTCCATTCAGTGGTTCTCTTAAAGAAGACATGTGTATGTATTGTCCATAGGGTCCTATGTTAAACGAAATCCCCCCGCTGGCGGCCATCTTGGATGATGGATCGGCTTCAAAGTAACAACACTTGGTCAGCACCTCATAAGGAACATTTATGCCATGTTTGGTTTCATTCTATTCAGTGGTTCTCTAAAAGAAGACATTTGTATGTATTTCCCATAGGGTCCTATGTTAAACGAAGTCCCCCGCTGGCGACCATCTTGGATAATGGATCAGCTACAAAGTAACAACACTTGGTCAGCACATCATAAGAAACATTCATGCCATGTTTGGTTTCATTCCATTTAGTGGTTCTCTAAAAGAAGACATTTGTATGTATTTCCCATAGGCTCCTATGTTAAACTAGGTCCCCCTCTGGCGGCCATCTTGGATGATGGATCGGCTTCAAAGTAACATCACTTAGTCAGCACCTCATAAGGAACATTCATGCCATGTTTGGTTTCATTCCTTTCAGTGGTTCTCTAAAAGAAGACATGTGTATGTATTGTCCATAGGGTCCTATGTTAAACGAAATCCCCCCCACTGGCGGCCATCTTGGATGATGGATCGGCTTCAAAGTAACAACACTTGGTCAGCACCTCATAAGGAACATTCATGCCATGTTTGGTTTCATTCCATTCAGTGGTTCTCTAAAAGAAGACTTTTGTATGTATTGTCCATAGGGTCCTATGTTAAACGAAGTCCTTCGCTGGCGGCCATCTTGGATAATGGATCGTCTTCAAAGTAACAACACTTGGTCAGCACCTCTTAAGGAACATTCATGCCATGTTTGGTTTCATTCCATTCAGTGGTTCTCTAAAAGACGACTTTTGTATGTATTGTCCATAGTGTCCTATGTTAAACAAAGTCCCCCGCTGGCGGCCATCTTGGATGATTGGTCACCTACAAAGTAACAACACTTGGTCAGCACCTCATAAGTAACATTTATGCCATGTTTTATTTCATTCCATTTAGTGGTTCTCTAAAAGAAGACTTTTGTATGTATTTCCCATAGGGTCCTATGTTAAACTAAGTCCCCTCTGGCGGCCATCTAGGATGATGGATCGGCTTCAAAGTAACAACACTTAGTCAGCACCTCATAAGGTACATTCATGCCATGTTTGGTTTCATTCCATTTAGTGGTTCTTTAGAAGAAGTTCAAAATGTAAAAACTTTTAACGACGACGACGACGACGGACGACGGACGCCAAGTGATGAGAAAAGCTCAATTGGCCCTTTGAGCCAGTTGAGCTAAAAAGGAAATTGAATAAATAAAAAAATCAGTGATTAATTAAATTGACTGATTGGTGTTTTTTAACGTCCAGTGACAAATATTTCATACATATATAAACAAATACTCCTTTAACGACGAATTTAAAATAAGGAAGGTTCTAAAAAGGCGGTTGGCCGAGATAAACGATGGGAAGTTCGGGCTGCAACTGAAAAAGAGGATA